TCATGCGGAAGTGGCTTTAGCTTCTCAGTGCTGTGCTTTAACCCGCTGCACCACAGGGAGGGCCACTGCTGCAGAAACGTTTAAAATCGAATTGCATTGATTTGCTATAGGTTTATGAAACTATATAACTGGGGGATCATTTCACACCTGAATATAGGCCATTTCACACCTTGCCCTCCACCAGCCCCCAAAGCCAATATACACCCCCCTCACCCCATTTCTCTCTCTCTTCTCTCCCCTTCCTCTCTGTAACCACCCTATTTTTCTAGTCTAGAGTTATGTCTTACTCATTTGTTTTCTTTGTTTCTATTCCACAAATGGGTGAAGCCACCTTCACTTTCTAGCTCATTCCACTTAGCACACTCACCTCAAGATTCACATATTATCTTCTTCTTTTCTTTTACTAATTCATTTTCTTCTTACATTGTTGTAGTCCCATAGTTCCCCATGCCACTTATCACCCATAAACCATCACCCCATCCTTTGTGCTCTTCCCTCCCTGGTTTTAACCCCTCATTCCCCTTCCCCCACAGTAGGCATGTGATCTATGGCTAGCTTGCCCCTTTTCACTTTTTCTTGACCTTTCTTTTGTTTTATGTACATGCCCCATGTACATAAGCGATACTGTCCAATTTTTATCTTTTTCCTTCTGACTTATTTCAAGGAGCATAACGAATTCATGCTTTTTGTCTCAAAAGTCACAATTTTCATTTTTAACGCCTGAGTAGTATTCCACACATATATAGAATGCTGTTGACAAGCTCTTAGAGAACTGGGCTGGGCCTCAGTTTCCAAAATAGCTAGTAGATGTGGACAATGTGTATGTGTTGGGGGGTTAGCCTGTGTTTCAAAAGGGACAATTGCAAAAGTGAATGGTTTGTAGTCTCTGTTTTTAAGAAACGTACAATGTAGGAGTAGAGTCGGCCTCTACCTGTGTGATATGAGATAAATTGGTAACACTAAGGGAAGTGGAGGCAGGGATGAAGGTGAGAGAGTTGAACCTGAGGGTCGCAGGTGAGTGCAATAAGGAAGGGCACACCTTCCTCCTAACCACCTGAGCCTGGTTAGTAAGGAAAGAAGGCAGTCAGGTAGAGGGAGGTGTGAGGGGCAAGGGTCGGTGTGGCATCCAGAAGCTGGCACCCCTGTGACTTCTGGGCCCACTTCTCTCCTACAGGTCATCCAGATCCTGCTCGGCCTGGTCATGGTGGCCATCGGAATTATATTTCTGTTCAATTTCTTCAGTTTCTCCCATAAATTTCCTCTTGTCTTCATCACAGGATATCCATTCTGGGGAGCACTGATTGTAAGTACTGTTGGTTAGGCACTTCGGAAAAATGATAACAAAGATTAGTTGGCGTTGCCTCAAGTTTGGGGGTAAAACCTCTTACGAGGGTCCCCTGTGAGCCGCCAGTCTGGTTCGTGGCAAGAGAAGCGACTATTAGGCCTTGTGCTGCTGCGGTCATCACAGCCCAGCTGCTCCTTGGGGTCAGTGTTTACAGTTTCCACAGCCCTGTGTGTGCAGTCAGCCATTTTTTTTAATTAATGAATTGATTGATTATATATTTTTTACATCATTCTTCATTTTGGTCCAACGTATGCTTTTTCATCTCAGTTGTAACACACACGGAATTCCCGCCACCAGTTCACCCTGTGCCGCCACCTCAGTCCTGTGCTCTTCCCACCCCTGTTTTGATCCTATTTCCCTCTGCTCCCCTGTTAGAATGTCTCTGGTTTAGAGTTGTTCGTTGATTTTGGTTTTTGTAAGGTCGAGGCGACCGGGCAAGGTTGGGGCAGAGAATTTCCATTTGGGGCTGTTACTCTCTGCATCCTGGGAGCCTCCTCAAGCCTGGGAACTGCCTGCATTCCGGGAATCAACTCTGCCTGACTGGCACACTGATAAGTGTCTCTGATTAATCGTCTCAAAAAAAGCAAAGCAAAGCAGCTTCCATGTCCTGTAAAAGCTTACCCATGTTCCCCAACAGGTGCGACTTCTCTGACCTCAACTCTTTGGGGCTGGTGAACCTCACCCGGGAGCACAATAAAGTGCCTGTCAGAAACTTGCTTTCCATCTCTTAACTGTGCTGAACCTTTCAGTTTTTACTTTACTACAATTACTTGTTTTTTTCCTGATCCCTTCCATTCCTCCTACAAGTGAAACCACCTGGTATTTTTCTTTTACCTTCTGGTTTATTTCACTAAGCACAATCCCTTCCAGCTCCATCCATGTCGCAAACGGCATGAGTTTATCCTTTTTGATTGCAGAGTAATATTCCATGGTGCATATATACCACATCTTCTTGATCTAGTCATCTATTTTGGGGCTTGCTGGGTTGCTGCCACAGCTTACCTATTGTAAATAATGTGCAGTCAGTCATTTTTTTCTGACATTCCGAGGCATTTTTTCAACATGGAAGCACTGAGTGACCAGATAGATTTCCCCTTTGCAAATAAGAAAATGGGGTTTGAGAAAAACTAATATTTTTACACTAGCTATAGAGTCAGTGTCTCATGAGTTAAGGAGAATTTTAAGATGATTAGCATGGTTCAACCTCCTTATTATCCCCAGAGACGATGATGTGCGTCACACACAAACCAAAAATGCAATTCTTAGCACAGAGTTATTTCCATCCACCCCTGGCTTCCTATTTGGGGCCAGAACACTGAAGAGTAGAGTTACCAGTTTCCCGTACCAGAACATACTCTCCCCGGAGAACAAGACTATCATGGGCTTTAGTTGCTATTACACTCTCGGATGAATGATTCAGTGAGCAAATGAAAGAATCAATGAAACTCCATCCATACCTTTTCTATAATCTGCATTGCCACACAGCTAGAAGTGTTTTTATTTTCCAAATACAAATAACATAATCCTGACCGTGGTTTTCAAACTCCTCACGCCACTTGGCACCCCCAAGCATCTCCTCACTTCCGTGATTCACAACAGAATTTTGCTGGGGTGATTTTATGTAATCTGCAGTCACAAAAATTAATGAGGCCCTGGAATACTGCTTTGCAATGTTTTATTGCGTTACCCTTGGTTTACATCACTGTAACAGTTTGTGAGTAAAGTTGTGCATATACCACAGAATTCACTCTCGTTACAAAGGCATTTACTAAGCACCCACTGCTTTTCTTCTAAGTAAATGGGGTTTGTTAAAGAGACTGAAAAAATGAGAAAGCAAAGCGGCCAACGGTAAGCTATTACGTGTGTACGCAGAGCGTGTTAAGCAGAGTCCCAGGCCCATGCGAGCGCTCGAGGGAGGACTCATCTGGTGTGGGGGGGTCGGTGGTGCTTTAGGCATTGGCTGAGTGAGGTGGGAGGAGGGCATCTTCTAGCGAAGACATACTATGAGCCCAGCGAGTACTTGAAGTGGGAAAGAGCCACTGAAGATGAGTGAGCGGTGGAGCCCCAAAATAAGGCCGGCCAGGGGGGCTGGCAGCCGAGGACCAACCCTCCTGCTCACACTGAGAACGTGAAACTACACAGAGCAAGGAGAGACGGTAGTAACATTTGAAGACGCGTCATGTTTGAAATAGCATGTATTTTCTGGGCGGCAACGAATTCAAGACCCACAACAGCCAACAGAGAGGAGCAGAGGAGAAGGGCGGGAAAGATGGCGCCCTGCGGGGTGGACGCGAAGGGCGAGATGGCTTCAAAGGCTCTGGTTGCCTTGGTAGCCTCCATCTTGCAGGTGGGATCCTGAACCTCTAAATCATACACAGTGTGGAACCAGTGTTACCTCAGTCAAGAGGTAACAAAGATAACAGAGTGTCACTTCCATGTCCTTAGACTGCAGCACGCAGATGTCCCCTGGCTTCACTGCCAGCTCCCACAGGAGAGGTTCCCATGCCCGGGATATGTATAAATGGGTGCATGTTGGGGCACAGAGTTCTCATTGTCTTTGACTGGTACCACACTCTCCATGTTCTTGGAAAGAAACAACTAAGCACGAGAGGACAGCTGCCATATTGGAGGTGAGACGGTCCCTGTCGGCTCATCTGCTCAGAGTAGACACAGCTCACCCGCCCCTCTTCGAGGCCCAGGGCCCAGAATTACCTCGCGTTTGCGAACTTACTTGAACCAAACATCTGAATGGGCTTCTGGACCTTAGAGAGGAAGGGAGTCATCCTTGCCAGATGACCCTGGCAAGGAGCTGCCAGCACTGTTATTTTTCTGACATCAGTGCCTACTTTCCCTCCCCGCCCCCCCTTGGGATACTCTGCGCAAGGAATTACATCCTAAGGTGGGAAGTGTGTTACCTGTTAACCTTTCCCTCTCTTCTTCTCAACAGTTCATCCTTGCAGGACACCTCTTAGGAAACAGTAAGATGGACAAATGTGTGGTAAGGCACTTCATGGCTTCTACATCAGTTTGAATCTTCTTAGTGTACGAAACTTTAACTAAAAGATCTCCTGGGAAAATCTTTACACATCAGCTCTTCAGTTCAGTCCGTTCCTACCTGTCAACATCACCATGAGTCTTTCATCTTTCCATGGTCCCCATTTCCCTGGACCAAGAAAACTGAGATTCGCTACTTACAGGAAGGCATTCTACATCCCTCTACTGCATGGATTCCCACCCACACCCGCTGGGAACATTGGGCCACTGAGGGCAAGAAAGAAAACTTCTAGGGCTCTCCCTGGTGGCACAACAGGTTAAGCCACAGCACTACGAGGCTCTCTGCAACCACTCAAGTTCGATCCCAGCCAGGGAGTGACCCACAGGGCACAATAGACCTCTCCTGTATCCCCGCTGCTCCCCTCTGCAGTGTATTTCAGTAGATCCACCTGTTCTGCTCCTCCCCGTCTCTCTGGTGAGTCCTCTTATGCCCTACATCTCTGGCCAGCTCTTATATGCATAAATAAATAAATATTAAAAAGGAAAATTTAAAACTTACTTCAAAATTGCTATTGGCTGTGACTATATTTCTCTCTTGCCCTCAGTGCCCAAATATTCCCAGGGGTGTGGGTTGGAATCACTCCCAAGGAAGAGCCGTTACAGTGGTTCTTGGCTGTCGGTTGTGGTTTGACTCTCGGTGGGAGTGAGTGCAAGCCACCTGGAGGTGGGGCCTCAGCTCTGTGTGCCTTTGAGCCTTTGAGGTCTGGGCAGTGTGCCAGCTCATCGCTGCTGAGCAGTGTAAAGATAGATGTCTTCTGAGTGAATGACTAGGCACTTCTCTAAAACCAGGTGACATCGTCTCATTTTTAAAGACAGAAATTGGAATTTCAAGAGACTAGTTCCCTTTCAGGAGGTCCTAGTTCCCAGGTGTGATGACAAAACTATTTTTGCTACCATACCGTTTTACCCAGTGTGAAAGATGGTGGCGGGGAAGACGACATTCACTGGAGAGCACCCATTCACTTCCTGTCTCCCTGGCACCACCTAAACCTGTTTGTCCTGGGGCTTTGATGAATCAGTTTTACTTATCAGCCTTTCAAGCACAACCATCTGACTTGATTTTCAACTGTTTTCCAGAGACATTGTACCATTCCCATGAGCATCATCAGTTCGTTGACAGCGGTAGCTGGCATCGTTTTAACCATTATCAGCTACAAGTATCAGCACATGTACTGCCAGCAACCATCCCTGGATGGAATATGTGTGATGGGGAGGAGTCTGTTCAATGTAAGTGATCTCACTTTGAACACGCGTGATCCTGCCTGGTCTGTGTTTCCGGTGTGTCAGTCCATTCATTTGACTCCAATCACAAAATATTCATGGGCATCTAAAAAGACTGGTGGGACACATATTGTCAGTTGACATTTAAGAAGATTGGGAGCTACAGTGCTTGGATTTGCAGCCTGGTGGTGTCACGTAGACATTGTGACTTTGGTCTGACATGTGATCTTCTCAGAACCTCAGTTTTCCTCCTGTGGAAAATAAAGAGAACAAGAGTATCCACCGCCTTGGGTGGTTTAAAGTAAATTGGTCCCTGTACATAGAATCATGGAGAACCTGTTCTGAGATCTCACGGTGTAACTTCACCATGCCTTGCTTAACCCAAACATCATAAATAAGCTAAACTATCCACAACAGAGGACTTTATGTATCTCCTGGACTGAGTTCTGTGCCAAAGATCAATCCATTTTACACTGTGGCCAAAGTCATTTAAAAATGCAGATCCGAGTACATGACTCAGTGGCTTTCTTTAAACATGGACTCAAGACCCAAATCCTAAGAGGCTTCCAAGTCCCAACAGTTAGCCCTCTCGCCTTCCAGCATTATCTTCGGTCTTTAGCTTTCAGACTCTGCATTCCTGCCACGCCTTGGGGTTCCTTAATGTATCAGATATCCAGCATATCCAGATATGCTGCGCTCAGAGGGTCCCTACCCAGTGCCGATTCCTTCCCACCTACCCTGTTAAGCCTCCATCATTAACCTTAGTGAGACCATCATCTTATGATGATGTAGCACTGGTACACCTTACAACCTGATTTAGAGGAATAGGATCACACCTCTTCAAATGCATGTTAATGACACTGCCCCCAACATCAGGACACCCCTACTCTCCACTACAGTCCATTGGGCCTCCTCCAGCCTCTGGTCCCCTCCACTCACCCATCTCCTTCTGGACACCTCAAATCCACCATCAGATTTCTAGGGTTTGTTTTGGTTTTTAAGCTAGTCCTCAGCTTATATCTTTAAAATGATACCACTTTCATTCCAAATGCCATATGTAGGCAAATACTACTGTTTTGTTTCCTTACATTCCACACTAAGCACAAGCATATGGTATTTGTCTTTCTCCTTCTGATTTATTTCACTGACTCTGCTAGTTCCACCGGTAAATATTACTTCCTTAAGAAGGCCCTTCCAATTGTATCTCTACCCTTTCCTAGTGCAGACTTGGCCAGAGAGTACGTAACCCCAGTATGTTTTTCAGTCTTCCTCCCAATTTAGTTAAGCAAACAAGTGTGTCATTTATTACTGCCTGCTTCCTTCTCTATGCTGTAAGCTCCACAGAGACTAACACTAGGTCTATCTTGCTCAACAGCTGAAGCCAGTAAGACTACAGTGAGCTCTTCATACCTCTCAATTTTACTAAAAAATGTGCATTGCTCATAGATGCATTTCATGGAAACCCAAGTCAAAGAGATTCAATCACTGATGCAGGTTAAGTTGACTTTGGACCCAATTGCGCCCAGTTCTTTCTGTCTGTAGAGTCTAAGCCTTTAAAACCAAGTCATTTCTTATCTAAAAGTGACTTTTAACCAGTGTACAAAATCGCTTATTTCCCCCTGATGGTATTTCCTTTACTGACCCCTGCCTGTTGGCTCATTTAAGATCGCTGCCTGACTCCCAGAGGAGTTTGGCATCCCTGCTTATCAGAAAGCCCTAAAAAGAAAATTCATTCTCTTCCAATCACTAGTGGCTACAGAGGCATCTAGAATAAGAGTTTTCCCAGTTGTGTTCATAGTGCGTTACTGCTCCTTGACTTAAATCTCTAAAATGATACTGTTTTCCTTCCAAGTGTCATACATTAAGTGTCACTATTTGTAGGGAATTTTGTCGGTCTTACTGATCATCAGCATCGTGGAGCTCAGCATCTCTGTGACCATCGCTGCCTTTAAAAGCAAGTGTTGGACAAGGTCAAATGAGGTATGTTCAATGTCGTTATGAGAGTGAATTCCTAATGGGACCTTTCAGAGTGACTTCTGGCCTGTTGGTGAGGGAACAGTATTCTCAGAAGCTGAACTAAAAATTTTCAATTTGGAAGTTCGGGGTGGGATAATAAAATTGCTGGCTCATTCCTCCCTGTGAGACAGCTATGCTTCCTTTACTCACCCTCCCTGCTAGTCACAGCCATCTTTATTCAGACACAGCCCTTAGCTCCCTGCCACAGTAGACGAAAGACCAGACTTCATGGAGCCCCTATTACTGGAATGTGGGGAGCTTGAACCTGTACCGTGAGGGTGGGTATAACAGTTCCCTCAGCAGAGAAGGGAAATTATTCAATTGAGACACTTACTTATATTAATTAATATAGCTTACTTTTATTGAATGCTTACGATATGGGCATTATGATAATCGCTTAATACCAACTTACAAAACTGTTGAAACAGATCTATTTTACACAGGCTAAAAAGACACAGAGTAGCCTCTCCAGTGTCACAGAACATCACCATTGTGACTACAGAAATGTAGTTCCAGAAATTGCTTTCTAAATAACAGTCAGTTATGGTATTTTCTTCTCTCTTTCACTTCAGCTTTAGAGAATTATATTTACCAAGAACAAAAGTCACTCATTCAATGAACTTTGGCAAATCATACACACCTGTTTCATTAGCATCACAATCAAAATGTAGTGCATTCCTATCACGCTGGAAGCTTCCTTGGGATCTCTTTGCAGTCAATAGATCAGTTTCCTCAATTAGTTTTCCCTTTCTCCAACTTCATCTACATGGAACAATAAGTCTGCTTTGTATCTGTCTCCTTCATTCAATAACGTGTGTAAAAGATTCATACACACTGCTGCAGGGATGAGCAATCCTTTCCTTTTACAGATGGGTTCACCATTTACCACCATCCATTTATCTAATCTTGATGGACTTTTTTTGGTCACCTGGAACAGTTCAACTCATATCTTCGTGTGCACGTGTGTTTTCATTTCTCCTGGAGTGTCGAATCTCCGTCTTTGGCCTTCGGTAGTGGGGTTGTGAAGCGTTGGGTGTGGGTCACTTTGGTTTAACATCCTGTGTTCTCTGAACTGCTTGGATTTGTATGTTTCTGTATTTCATAAAATTTAGGAAGTTTAAGTCATTATTTCTTCAATATTGTTTTTACTACTTCTCTTGCTAAGAGTCCCACAATGCATCTATTGAAATCTTACAAATTCCTTAGGATTTGTTCACTTTTCTTAGTTCTTTTCTTGGTCTGTTCCTCAGACCAATAATGTCATTGTCCTTCAAGTTCATTAATTCTTCTGCCTACTCAAATCTGTCTTTGAGTAGATCTAGAGCATATATTTGGTTTGCTTTTCAGCTCCAGAAATAATATATATATATACATATATATATATAGCTATATAAATACAGTTTATAAACTAAACTAGTTATATAGTTTATAAGTCATATATATTTTACAAATTATGCATATTGCCTGCTTTATCTTTCTTTACTGATTTCATCAGTTCACACATTGCTCTGTGACACTGGCCAGGTTATCAATGTCAATCTCTCAGTTACAAACAAATGTAATAACTACAAAGGGGTGTTATAGCAATTCCTCCTTGAACAATTGAAATGATTTTGCAACCTTGCGTAACACCTGGTAGTCCTAAATTATTAGTGATTTGTAAATTTAAAATTGTAGCACTTAAGAGTTTACACAAAGTTAGAAAAACTATACTTCATGCTACCAGAGGAATGCAGTTCAAATGAAGCTAGAAGTTTGGAAGAATAACAATGTTAAGTAGCCCTAAAAGTACCATCTATCGGCCCTCCCTGGTGGCACAGCGGGTTAAAGCACTGCACTGAGAATCTAAAACCGCTTCCACATGAGTTCGATTCCGGCCTCCCACATGGCGTGGCAGACCTCTCCTGTCCCGCCCGCTACTCCCCTCAGCAGTGTACTTTGTCAATCTGCCTGTTCTGTTCCCCACTCTGCCTCTGTTGAGGCCTCTCACCACCCCTGAGCCTCTGGCCTGTACCCCAGTTCTGTATGTACAAATAAAATCTTTAAAAAAAAAAAAGAAAGTACAGTACCATCTATCCTCATATAGATAGTTCTCTCATTGAGATAAAATAGAGGTGTAGAAACAAACTGGAAATGAAAGTATATAGCGTCGTAGAATGTGGAGACTTTTATTTTAGGAAACTTTGCTGCCATTAATCAACTAAGTAACAGTATTGGGTTATTTAATCACTCGGAGTTCCAGAACAATTCAGGACAGGGGCTGCCAAATATCAGCAGACTGTTCTGCAATGCTAACCCTTCCTGAAAACAAACTGAAAAAACCAGAACCATTGACTAAAAGTTGAATTATTACCTAGCGGTTTAAAAAATTCCATTGACTAAAAGTTGAATTATTACCTAGCGGTTTAAAAAATTCCAGTAGAGCTCACTTGTCTGTGAAGAAAAACCAGGTCTTCTCGCCTAGTCCATTCATAAAATATCCTGGACTGGGTGGATGGCTTTTACAGCAAATGTTATTTCTCATTCTGGGGAAAGAGAATTTAGGGGAAGGTAATGGTAGGCTCAATGTCTGTTGAAAGCCCTCTTCCTGGTTCAAAGACAGCCACCTCCTTTCCTATCGAGGACCAGGGGCAAGGAAGATGTCAGGGATCCCTGTTATAGAAGCATTAATCCTGTTTGTCGAGGCTCCACCCCTATCTAATCTCTCCCCAGAGGCTCCACCTCAAAATAAAATCACGCTGGTGACCAGGTTTCAACAAGACAACAGGACAAAATATAACCACCTCATCTCTAGCACCTACCATCCACCAATACCTCGCCACCCACTGGCGTCACACTATGCTCTACCACACCTTGCATTTTTGTGCTCACTGTTTCCACTGTCCTACCTGGAATTTGCATATCTTCTTTCCTCATCTTTTAGCTTAAAGAATTCCAACTTACCCATCAAGACATAGATCAAACAAGACTCATTCTGTGAAACATTGCCTGTCTCTCTTAGAATTAAGTCATCTTCTACAGTCCCACAAAACATTCAGTACCATTTCCTATGTTAGAATTTACTAAACAACATTTTCTTAGCGATTTGTATGCTGTTTTAATTGTAAGCACCTATGGACAAAGCCAACATCTGTCTTTGACTTCCAGCATCTAGTTCATCTAATAGGTGATCAATAAATGATTATAAACCTGAACATATGAGCATTAAATGAATGATTTTAAAAGGGCCTTAGAACATTTTTAATATTATTATAGGAAGAATATTTCAGATAATCAAATCCCCCAATTTAGTATTTGAGATAATAGAGGGGTTGACTTATCCAAAATGAAATCAGTGAGTTGATGGCAAAGGCAATATTTGTTTACTGACTCACCACCTAGATGTTATTTCCCATCTACTATCTTAAGACAGAGATAATGTGAATTGCCAAAGCTAAAAGAAAATAATCAAACATGATTCTGTTATAGTAACATTCTCCCCACCCCTCTTGGTTTTTCAGATTGTGTTTTTCTTGCCTTCAGATTTTGCTCAAGATAGTGAACTATCTATAGCAGATGAAAATGCTGTATTACAATTTGAGCTTGAAGAAGAGTCTTCCAGTGATTCAATTGCAAACATACAACCTGTTTTCTTTGGAGGCTATACTTTCTACAAGTTAAGACTTTCAAGAAATCCATTAGCCTTCCAACAGTCAGGGAAGAAAAGCAACAACAATTATTATGTACCTTCCATAACTTTGGTCAATGAACAACAAAAAAGCAACCTGTCATCTTCAAAACCTTATGAGACAGTAACTGGGGTAAAATCTACACCCTCAGGGAGTAATAGGAAATCTAAAGAAGTTAATGATGAAGACCTAAAACTTGATATTGGACAGCCTCCAAAAACGCAAGCCCAATTATCACAGGATCAATCCTTGCCACACCAAGTTCTTTCATCCCATTATGTACAACTCCAAACTTTACCACCCCAAGATTCACCACCCCAATTTCTGTCAGCCGAAACCCTGTCAGTACAAAAGTTGCTATCTGAACTCTCAAAATCCCAAATCAAAAAGTCTCTTGCCCTGTTCCCTGATGACAAACCATTCCAAGAGCTATTATCCCAAGTCAGACCATCCCAAGACAGACCATCCCAAGTCAGACCGTCCCAAGTCAAACCATCCCAAGACAGACCATCCCAAGAGAGAACAACCAAAGGCCGAGCATCCCAGGATACAACAGCTCAAGGCAGAGCATCCCAGGACACAACAGCTCAAGGCCGAGAATTCCAGGATACAACAGCTCAAGGCAGAGCATCCCAGGATACAACAGCTCAAGGCCGAGAATCCCAGGATACAACAGCTCAAGGCAGAGCATCCCAGGACACAACAGCTCAAGGCAGAGCATCCCAGGACACAACAGCTCAAAGCAGAGCATCCCAAGACACAACAGCTCAAGGCAGAGCATCTCAAGAGGGAACAATCCAAGACAGAGCATCCCAAGATTTACCTTCCTCAGATCCAACATATCAGCTGCAGTCCATGCCATCACAAACCATGGTAACTGAAACCCAGGATATCCTGTTAAAAGATAATATGCAACATGTAGAACAGACAGCAGGTCTGAAACTACAAAAGATCCAATGTGACAACCAGGATGGTGCACATGTAGAATATCAAGACATCCAGTCAGAAGTAATGTTACTTACCCAAGGCTGGAAACATGAAGCTGAACTCCACAGCAAAAAGTACTCAAAATGGAATGCCTTACATGATAAAGACAAAGGTGAGCAATCCCCAAGGAGGAAATCCCTAGAACAGCACCTCAGAGGCAGAATATCGCCAAAGAAATACTCTTTCGCAGACAAATATGTTCAAGTAGAACTAGACAAAAAGCAGCCCTCAGATGAGCAAGCTCCATATTATGTGGTTCAAAGCGACCAGTCCCTAAAGGAGCAACCTCCCCGTGGGGAGGGTGAAGAGGAGCCCGAGATCTATGAAGTACAACCTCCCAAACAAGAGCAACAGCAGACTCAAGAGGACAGATATGAAAACTGGCCAGCCCCAGAAGAGCCAGCAGAGAAACAGGAACCTCCAAAGCAGCCAGACCCAGAAGGGCAAGCTCCAGACAATAAAGTGCAAGATTTGCAACAGTACCAAAACTGGATGGCTGAAAGCTGGAAAAACACAGACTGGAGAGCACAAGAATTGCAACTCAAAATGCAGCAGTCCCTAAACGTGGGAACCGAAGCCTGGCAAGCCGAAGCCCTGTTGGAGAAGGAGCTCCTCCAGCAGAAAGCTCTGTTCGAAGAAGCTGAAGGTACGCGCTTAGTAGCTCGACAACACTTAAATCAGCCATTACAAAGCATCCCATTCCAATACAGTCCCTATCAAGATAAGGGTCGGCAAGATCTTCCTCCCAGTAGGATCCAAAAAGAAGACAAGCCAGCAAGAGACACCAGACGAGCCGACCTACCATTCGAAGACATGAAAGTAGATTTTCATTGTCCCTCTGGGCAAAGCTCAGTGCAAACCTGTTTTTCCAATACAGATTCAGAACGCAACGGGCAGCACATTTCTCTCTGCTCATCTTCATACAAAGATGATTTGCCGTTGACGTCTACCTCCTGCTATCCAAAAGAGCATTCTGAAGACTCTGACTAACACGCAGAATCTGTCCAAGCGCCATGCTGCTTCCAAACTGGGGGGGAAAGGCATCATCTTCTCCAGCCTCAGTTGGCTGCTACCTTATTCATGCACATGAAATGAAGGGCCCACAGAACACTCAAAGGTTTTGTTCTAAATTAAAATAAAATGGCAACAAACCAAAAATTAATACTCTATGGAAATTTCTGGGGGTGAGGGAATGACTCACTTTTAAACTCTATTATCGATGTTTGTGTTTTGATGTATCATCACCAGTTTGCTTCACAGCTTCCGGTTAATGGATCTACTTTCCTGTGGTGCTCTCAGCCCTTGCTGCCGCCTCTGTGTTTGACAGCTCGACGGGTCAACCGGGAGTATGGTCATGTGGTACAAGAGCCAAAAGTCAGCAAGAGATCAAAATCAACCCCATCATTCCTGCATATGGCTGTTTCAGCCTCCCTGTGCCCCCCAACTGTACTGAGGGTTTATACTCTAGTTATTTATATAAGTTAGAGTGTGGTGATGGCCACAGAATTTGATGTATGCAGAGAGAATGAAACATACCTAGAGACAAGTAGGGAGCAGGAGGGACAGAGATGCAGAAGCTCTAGTGGAAAGAATAAGAGACTTGAAGTTTCTGAGGGAAGCTCTCCTTTCTATATGTCTGTTTCTAACTTAACAACCCTTAGACATATAATTTCAGCCTCAATGATTCAAGGAAACTGTGATTGAGAGCCATCAGATACCCTCCATCCTCCAAGCCTAATTACATTTTCCCAATCCTCTTTCTCCTTGAGTCTTTGATATGCTTGGAATCATGAACCATTCCTTTCTGCAGCCTTGTTAGCTTCTGAGTTTCTCTCGTACTCCCGAGTATTTTTCTTAACGCAATACATTATTAACTAAAGTTACCATGCAGTGTGTTACATTCCCGTGATTGAATTTATAACAGTAACTTTGTGCCTTTTGACCCCATTCACTCATTTTGCCCACCTCCCACAACCTGCCTCTGACCTATTCTCTGTATCTGTGAGCTCATTTTGTTTTTGTTCTTGAAGATTCCACATGTGTACGAACTTACAAAGCATTTGTTATTTCTGACAGTTCACTTAGCACAATACCTTCCAGGTCCATTCATGTTGTCACAAATAGCAGGATTTCCTTCTTTTTCCGGACTGTATAGTATTCTATTGTGCAAATATACCACATTTTTATCCATTCATCCACCAGTGGATACATACATTACTTCCATATCTTGGAAATTATAAATAATGGCATGATAAACAGAAGGGGCACATATCTTCTCAAGTCAGTGTGTTCATTTTCACCCAAGATTATCATAACCAGTATCCCATTGAGAAATTTGACATAGAACTGTAGCATCATGCCCAAACTAGGTAATGACACTGGTACATTATAATTAGACTAAAGACCTTACTCAGATTTTGAGCTCAAGAGAATGACTGCAATACAGATGTACACCTCCTTGAGACGTGTCATTAGCAAGAAACTAAACTGTTACATTTGTGCAATTCAGAGACCCTCTGTAGAAAGAATTATCTCTGTTGAGGTAATGTCTCCCTGTGCTTTAGATGTCTGGAGGGCATGTAGGTATCTCCCATTACCTAAAAGGTAATCTAGTGGTGGATCACAGAGACAGGAGGAAGATCCTTTTCACCCACTAAACCCTCCATCAACTCACAAGCTACATTTGGGCATTTGGGAAGCCCTATCTCTCATTCTGCTGCCCCCACCAACATACACACAGATAAACTTTGCCCTTCCCCTATCTCCTTGGTGTTTTTCCAGCCCTCTGCCCCTACTAGGAATCAGCAGTGGAGTTACAGTTCAGCCACATGAGGTTTGAGCTATCACACAAAGATGTTTCGGTCCTCGGGGCAAAGCTCTATAAAGTATCAAACCGAGTCCACAGGGTTAAATCCAAACCAGCTGGTTCACACTCCTGTTCTAATAACACACGACTAGCTGGGCTATGGAGGTAAAGTTTCTTAAAATTTTTGTGCCTCCATTTCAGCGATAAGAGATGAAGAAAGTTCCCAGCATGGAACTGTTGTGAAGACAGGAAAACTGAGCCCTGCAGGGTTCCGGGAACACCTGGCACAGGGTAGACATAGGCACACACAGCTGTACACTTCTCTTCCCCGTCCTTACTGCTGTTTGTGACATCTATTTCGTCTATTTTATACCAACCAAGTATCTATTCCGAGTTACACAAATTATCTCCCAGCTAGGGGCTGAATTGTGTCCACCCAAAATTCACCTGTCAAAGCGTAACCCCCTTCAGATGCTGTTTGGAGATGGGGCCTTTGGAAGGCACTTAGCGTGCGTTGAGGTCGTGAGGATGGAGGCTAGGAGAGGAGACACTGGAGTGGCTTCTCTGTGCTCGCCCGCTCCCTCGCTCTTCTCTGCACACATTGAGAAGAGGCCAAGTGAACACGTGGTGAGTCAGCAGCCATCTGCAGCCTAGAAGAGTTCATACCAGGAACCAAAACAGCTTGCACTCTGACCTTGGACCTTCCAGCCTCCACAATTGTGAGCAGCACATTTCTGCTGTTTAGACCACGCTGCCCATACATGGCATTTGTTGTAACAGCCAAGCAGACTAAGGCAGGCCTTTTATCTCTTGAAGGGTGGAGAACAGAGTGAAGGAATAAAAAAAGCCCATGTGAGGCCCTCCCTGGTGGCGCAGCGGGTTAAAGCACAGCACTCAGAAGCTAAAGCCACTTCAGTGTGAGTTCGATCCCCGCCTGCCCTGGAGGTGACCCACATGGCGCGGCAGACCTCTCCTGACCCGCCCGCTGCTCCCCTCAGCAGTGTACTTCATCGATCTGCCTGTTCTGCTCCCTACTCTGTCGACATCTGGTGAATCCTCCCACTGCTCCTGCACCTCTGGCCTGTACCCTAGTTCCGGATGCATAAATAAATCTTTTTTAAGATGTGGTACATATATACAATGGAATATTACTCAGCAACCAAAAAAGAGAAACACATGTCTTTTGCAGCAACTTGGATGGAGCTGGAAAATATCGTGCTTAGTGAGATAAGCCAGAAAGAGAAAGAAAAATACCAGATGGTTTCACTCATAGCAGGAGTGTAAGGGACCAGGTGAGAAAATAACAAAAATAATGAAAAACCATATACCAGAAACATTTTGTGGGGGTGGAGTGGGGAATGGGGTCAAAATGGGGGATGAGGGGGAGAGAAGTGCACGAGATTTTGGTGATGGCACACGGGTGACTTGATGATGGGAAACCCGCGGGGATTACAATTGAGATGGAAAAAAAAATGTACAAAATGATGTAAAAATAAACTGTTATAAAAAATAAATAAATAAATAAATCTTTTTAAAAAATCCCATGTGAACCCCTAAAACAAAGTGCATTTGCTTCTTTAAGAGAAAAATTCCCAGGCTAGTCACAAAAGGAAGTTCTAATGTCTCTACACAAGGCAGAGAATAGGAAGTAGAGACTTTATGTCAGCAGAGAACCAGTGGGAAATTCCAAGTGCCTGCCTGAGCCGATTCTGTAGAAGCTCTTGATGTTATCACTTTTGAAAAGCCGCTCCATGGGCAGAGAAGAGTCTAATGGTGACCAGCAGCATGACACAGTGACAGATGCTGATCTTATCTAAAAGCCCGACATACTGTGAAACCACAAAAGCCATAGAAGCAGGCCATCGAGAGGCTAAGACTACACGTTTTCCAGATTTCTGACAAATAGCAGCACTGGCTGCTCCCTTCCCTCATGTCTACCCTGCCCTTTCCAAGGCACAGCTGGACCTCTGGGGGAGACACCAGGTTAATCATCATTCATGGGGTACCACTAGGGATTCTGTGTCTTTGAAAAATTGAATGAGAAAGTAAATTAAAAATGAAAGGCAGTGGTCCTTTCAAGCATTCTATCAGGCAAGTGGCGAAGGTAGTTACATCAGGATTTTCGATTGAGGACGGCCCAGTCTCATTAAGAGGGTGACAAGGTGCAGTATATAAATGGACATAAGTTCTCCCCCCTTCCCGCATTCCTGTCCTTGCCATATAACAGCACAGGGCCTCCCAGGAAAATATGGAGTCAGTTACCTTCCCCTCAAATCAGGGATGTGTCTGCAATTTGCTTAGGTCAAGAAGACATTCGTAGGGTTTGAGAAACACTTGCAAATCAGAGGAAAGCCAAGAGCCTACCCCCTCTGGATGACTGAAGCCCCCCCAAAGTCACCAGCTCCAGCCACACCCACGACTGCCAGCTGATGCATGATGAGAAAACCCCAAAGAGGGGGGCGCAGCTGGCCCAGACCAGTCGAAACACCCATGTGACCCACAGAATCGTGGGCAAATCAAACGGTGGTAGTTTTAAGCCTCTACCTTTGGGGGTGGTTTGTTCACAGTGCAAGCTAATAGAGCTGGGGGCAAAGACCAAAGTCAACAGGTTGAGTGGCCCCTGTGTCTACTGCAAGGAGCAGCTGATTAATTCTGTGGGGCGAAAGGTTTAGCCTCTGTTTGTCTGAAGATAGAGACCTGGAATGAATGTTCATGACACTCACTCATGGGGTTACAGCATCCCTACAAGTCGGCTAGTCCCGCCTGTACGTGGGAGGAGGAGGCAGCCCAGGAGGGGAGAGGTGACTCGCCCAAGGTCTCAGTGAGCTCCTGACTCAGTCAGGTTACGCATCCGGCCCTCTGAACCCCGTCCTACTCCTTTTCTTTAAAATATTTTTTATCTATTTATGCATATAGAACTGGGGTACAGGTGCAGTGAGAGAATTCACCAGAGACAGAGTGGGGAGCAGAACAGGCAGATTGGTAAAGTACACTGCTGAGGGGAGCAACAGGCAGATCAGGAGGGGTCTGCTGCGCCATGTGGGTCACCTCCGGGGCAGGGATCGAACTCGCACTGAAGTGGCAGCGGCCAGCTTCGTCGCGCTACGCTCCAGCCCACTGTGCCACCGAGGAGGGCCCTTCTCCTACTCCTTTTAGTCGCGGACTTTCTTGAGAACTTGACTGGTCCTGAGATTCCATGATTGTATGACTCTACGATTCTATGATTCCAAGACGACCCACAGCAATGCCAGTGCGCCACGCAGCTCTGGTACCGGAGAAGAAGATGGTCTAGACCGACCAAAGTACCAACTAAGATTTTTTTGCCTCAAAATATCAACTCCGCCACCATGTATTCCAGTGCCGCAGATACACCTGTGTTTCTGATATTTCCTCCAGAAGTCACTGTCCCAGACATTCAGTCCATAGAAGTTTCAGAAACAAGCTATGGTTCTCACATCCCTGATCCAAAATTGATTTCTGCAAAATTGAAAGTCATAGGGGTAAGTAAAGACTTGTGCCAATATATTCTCTGTATTGTGCTCTGCACCGAGTGATTGTGATCCCCAAAATTCATCAGGGAGCCACAATCCCAAGGGGATGCTATTTCGAAGCGATGCCGTTGTTTATTGTGAGTGACACAGTGAACATGGGAACACAGATATTCTTTGAGATAATGATTTGATTTTCTTTGACTAGATACTTTGAGGTGGGACTGCTAGACCATAGAGCAACTCCACTTTTAATTTTTTTTGAAAGATTCATTTATTTATGCATACAAGAGCTGGGGAGCAGGCCAGAGGTGTGAGGGGGTGGTAAGAGAATTCATCAGAGACAGAGTGGGGAGCAGAACAGGCAGATATACTGAAATCCACTGCTGAGGGGAGCAGCAGGGAGACAGGAGAGGTCTGCTGCGCCCTGTGGGTCAGCTCCCTGGGCTGGGATCAAACTCTTGCTACAGTGGCTGTGGAGAGCTTCCTAGTGCGGTATTTAACCCCTTGCGCCAACAGAGAGGTCCCATTTTTAATTTTTTTGAGGAGTTTCCATGCTGTTTTCTATAGTGGCTGTCCCAATTCCCACCCCATTGAAGTGCCAGAGGGTTCCTTTTTCCTACATTCTTACCAGAATTTGCTCTTTCTCTTTTGTTGACCACCATGCTAATGGCTGTCAGGTTCTCTCTCAAGGTAAGTTTAATTTGCGTTTCCTTGGGGCTTGTAAAGTTTAAGCCAAAAATTTCTCAGCCTCACCTGGAATTCTATTTGGTAAGTAAAGGCTCAGGCCTGATAATTTGCATTTCTAATTTCTAGTGATCCTAATGATGTCAATATATGACTTCACTTTCAGGACCATTGATTTAAATAATTTCACACATCGCCACGTGCCAGGTAGCAGAATCAAGAAAATACACAGGAAAATCACAAAGGGGCTGACTTCTACTATGCCTTCCCTTATAACTTATAAAAGAGGGTAATTGCCTAATTCTCGTAAGCCAAAAGAACATGTTAACTTTTCGAAAAGAGAGACCACTGTTTTGCTTTTTCCTCGCCATGAGTTTTCCCTCTCTTTACAGAGTGTCCAGATCCTGCTTGGACTACTGAACTTTTCTTTTGGAGTTGTTTTGCTTTTCATTCTTGAAAGCCCACAGCCAAGGTTCCCCTTTATATTTCTTTCTGGATATCCCTTCTGGAGCTCCATTTTGGTGAGTATTGCAGTCCAGTTCAGTGTGAAGCCATGATGATGGCATTTAGGTGATGGGATTCGGTGCATGGGGTTCCCGGGCACCTCTCAGAAAGAACTCGGTAGATGTTCCCAGTCATTAGCACACAGCAAGTGTATTGAAGAGGAGGACAGGAGAGAGAGAAGCCTGCATAGATGCGAGCGGGCAGACTTCAAGAACAAGACTGTGTTTTGCCAGGGCAAGAACAAGGCTGTGTTCTTGCATCATGTTCTTTGATGGAGCTATAGTGGAAATGATCACGTTCGGGTCAGATTAATCTGGCCTTGTAAAATCCAGAATCATCGCTGCCCCACTTCTGGCTGATAAACTTTTCTAGCCCCCTTTTGGATTTCTGGAGTCTTCCATAGCTGGTTTAGCTACAATCTGTTAATTGTTCCTACCCCCATCTCCAGCGTTTGTGCTTGTGAAGAATTCCATCCTGAACTTTTCCACTATAAGATTTCATCAATGCTAATAGGTATTAGGGGAGTCTTGGTTACAATACGAGGTGTGTTCAGCACAAAATGTTTTGCAAAATGCTGAATAAAATCAGCCTCTTTGACATTATTTTCTCAATGAAGTCATCAGAGTTACTGATATTCCATCCACTGGGTCTTTAAGTTCCTTTGGGAATATTTCTTTGATTCTTCGCTTGATTTGTCCATTCATCCATTCAAAGTGAGTTACTGGTACAGTATAAACTGGTATTTAGGGTGCAAGGACGTGAGCCCTTCCTTCAAAATGCTTTCAGTCTACCTTGAAAGTTGGCCATATATAGAAAGAGATAATGGGGGTCGTGGCACCAATGCTGAGTCCACCCCAACTCTAAGCAGATGATAGATGAGAACATGAAAACCAGTGAGGTTTTTTAAATTCTCATGTTCACAGTAATAGTTCAGGTTAAATCAAATGTCTAGTCCACTCTGGCCACTGTTGGACTGTGACAGTCACATAAAGCAGCTCACCCTCCCACTAGCTTGAGGGCTGAGCAAGTCAGGGAGGTGAGGAGGAGAAGGAACAGGGAGAGGCTGGTTCTGTGTGTCCATGGCTGCTAATGTGCCACTAAGAGATGCATTCTTCTTAACAGTTTGTTAATTCTGGAGCCTTCCTGGTTGCCCTGGAAAGAAGAACCACAGAAACTCTGGTGAGTTCTATTTCCCCTTTATTAAAAAGCTCTAACTTTGACATAATTCATGCTAGCCTTGAACATACTGTGGAAAATCATGAAGTCACTAGAATGCCACAATTGACAAATTCCAATCAGTAGCATTTGCTGCTTTTCTTCCATAGAATCAGAAAACATTTGCACCAGAAGTGAGTTTTCTAGTTTCATCAGGTTAATGCTTATGTGTGAAGACACTGAGGCAACAACCCCAGCCAAAATGTATTCCTGTAACTCACTCATTCTTTCTTTCAGTATTCCTGTAAGTAACTTTGGTGCCTCCTAAGTATCAGTGACAGACTGATGGGCGCTGGTTTAACTCATACGATAGGCACACGGTATAGACAACCCCACTGACGCCTCACAGCAGCATCTCGGAATGAAGCATATGTTAACGAATGCGAATTCTTTAGTAGACTATGTTCATAAGGACACCTGTTCATAAGTAGGCTATGCTTTTTCTCTCGAAGAATCATTAATAAACCAATAAATTACTTTCGGCAAAGGACATCCATCCATTTGTAGTTTTTGGACGATATAAAAATTGCTTTGGATTATACTAGTTCATTAACTCCAGAGATAACCCAAAATGTAAGTAGATCCTGACTTTTAGCAGAGCAATAAATGGCACTCCAACACGGCTGCCCTCAAATGCCTCTGTTGCCGGGCATGCATCCCACCCCTCAGTGAAATGGGACAGAATTTAGGCACAGACTGTGGGCGACGGGAATGTTTTGAAGAGTCCACTGGCCCCCCATTTGTGAATGAGGGTCTGATGCTCAGAGTGGTGCAGTGACCCTCACACGCCCACGCTGCGGCTCTGTCGCTGAAATCCAGCGCTCCAGCGCCATTCACTGCTCGTGGGAGACTCAGACTGCGCCTGCGCGGGTTCTTCTCTTGCAGGTGAGGATGAGCCGGTTAATGAATTTGCTTAGTGCGGTGGCAGCCATGGCTGGATTGTTCCTCCTTACGTTCGCTTTCATTCTCGATCAAGACTACTTATGCGGCTTTTCTAAAAACACTCAACCGTGCCAGGCAGTTACCACCTTATTCGTTGTAAGTAGGCTGCATTGTAGGTATGGTGAGGAATGGGGTAAACCACGGCTGTATTAGCAGCCAGTCGGCACCTTCCAAGACATCACGCAGACACAGGGCATTTCCTTTTATTTAGAGACATTTACAGAAACCATAGTCTCTGATGGACATTCTACCAGGCATTATGGAATAGAAAAATTCACACATTATAACTCCCCACGTTTAGGGATTCACAGGTGAGTAGAGGACATAAAATACATTTCATAAAAGCTAATATAAGCAAATATATTATAAAAGCTGTAAGTATAAGAGTATGTATTTGCAGCAACATGGATGGATCTGGAAGGGATCGTGCCTAGTGAAATAAGCCAGAAAGAAAAACAAAAATATCAGATGGTTTCACTCATAGCAGGAGTGTAAAGGACCAGGAAAAAAAGAAAAGTCATTGTAATAAAGTAAAAACAAGCATCAGTTAACAACTATAAACCTTTCTGAAGTTCTTGATCACAAAGTTTAAGAGATAAGAGGTGTATAAGAGATAAAGTCATATACTAAAAGGAAAATAGAGGGTTAGCCGGATACAGTACTTCACAGTCTAGGTATGCTGTAGAATCCCGAGGGGGGTGTTTTTATAGTTTATAAAAACTATAGAGCTTGTATAGTTTTATAGTTCCAATGTCAGAAGTCAACCAAACTTCTAGTAATACAGAGTAGACTGAAAATAGCCCTTTATTTCTGTTCTTTCCTCTACATGGAGACCAAAAAATGTCCACAAGGCCCATCAGAAATTGCAGAGAAAGCTGAAAATGAGCCACCTTCCACAAAGGGAGCTTGCAGAGAAGAAACGTATTTCAGAGGGTGATCATGAGAAATACCAAGCCTTAGGAAGTGCTCAGTCACAGGAGACCGGGGGAAGAGAAGACACGGAGCTTGGGTCTGGCAGTGGTGGGTTGGGCTTAAAGAGATGAGTGAAGCAGTAGCCTGCAAACAGGAACATAACAGGCAAAGTGTTGGGATGGGGAGTGCGGGCAGGAAGATAAACAGAAACACCTGAACACTGCAGAAGAAGGGGTAGACACACATGACAGTCACATATGATGAAAACCTCCCACGGGCGGATCACATGGAGGCCCCAAAGCCAGGCAGGACATTGGAGATGCTGGATTGTCTTATGTCTGTGAAATGCTCTTCCAAAGTGAAGCTGCAATAAAGATGGGACAGATCAAAAGGAAGCCAGAAGTGGCCTTGGCAGACGTATTCTAAAATTACATGAAATGATTTCTTTTTCAAATTATTTTAACTGGGGTAATCTCAGGATACTCCCAGCAAGCAGAAGAGACACACAATGTCATGATGCTGTAAATTTAAATTGACACCACATTATGTGTTGATTCTATCTCTGTGTTTTAAATTAAACTTTTTTTTTATTTTCTTGCATGTAAACAGAGAGCAAAAAGCAAGGCACGAAGTGGGATTTATATCCCATTGATCAGTCTCACCAGAACCCACATCCAGCATATATGAAGCACCCTGAAATTAATGAAAAGACAAAAAGTTTGAACAGAACTTTATAGTTTAATTAATATAGTTGTTAATTGATGTTTGTTTTTACTTTATTACAATGACTCCCCCCCCCCCGGTCCTTTATACTCCCGCTATACCATCCGGTATTTTTCTTTCTCTTTCTGGCTTATTTCACTGAGCATGATCTCTTCCAGCTCCATCCATGTTGCTGCAAATGGCATGTGTTTACCTTTTGCTTGCTGAGTAATATTCCATCACGGTCCATCCTAACTATAAACCAGAGACATTCTACGGGGGAGGAGAGAGGAACAGGATCAAAACTGGGGTGGGATGATGATGACTCACGGGTGAAGTGGTGGTGGGAAGTCCATGGGGATTACAACTGAGATGAAAAATGTACAAAAGGAAGAAAGATATAAATATATATATATATATTATATACATACATATAATATAAAAATATAAAAAAAAATGTTTTAAAGAGCTTCGCAAAGAAAGCCGTGCCAGCCAGCAGGGTGGCCTCTGATGTGTAGTGGCATTTCTCCCTGGGCTTGGTGGCCTCCCCGCATTCAGGAAAGTCGTCACTGCCCAGCCCCGCAGGGCTCCACTCCCTCCATCTTCTCTCTTCTTCGTTACAGGGCATTTTGGTTATGCTGATGACATTCACCATTATTGAGCTGTTCATTTCTGCAACCATCTCGATTTTGGGGAGCCCCACTGTCTGCTGTGATAATGAGGACCGGCACTGAGCAGCACTGTGAGAATAAAGACGTGTTATCAAATCAGTGGAGGTGAATCATGCTGACGCGGAAAATCCGGAGGGAAAAGAGAACCAGTTAAGGCTCTGAATGATCCCCCTCCTGACCTCCCTTACCAATTCCTTGAAATCACCCCACCACCACCACCCAGGTAATTCTGGGTGCCAGTGCCTGGCTGAAGGGTGGGGACATGCCCTAGTCACTTAGTAGCTCTGGGTGGAGTCAAGATAGTCACCTGGGTCAACAATGCCTGAGCAGGGCCGCAGTGCCCAGGGCAGTCTGCAGCCAGCATAGCGGCGAGGCCACCGGCTGCCTTTCAGGGACACAGAGCCACGTGTCCGAGGCACAGATGAGTCCTGAGGATGGAAAAAGCATGTCTCGCCAGAGAGGCAGTGTTCTGAGAATAAAGCAATATCGAAGAGCTAAAAGGTGGGAAGAAATATAAGCAAAAGTTTAGTTAGTAAATGTTTACTAGAGCATTAGGATGCTCGACAATACGGTAACTCAGGGGCAGAGACTTGAAATGTGTGTTAGACCCAGAAGCCTGGCACATTCCCGAGGGGGAGAAAGAAGGAACAAAGAGAGAAGCACTCACAGACCCAGGCTGCCATGGGGAGTTCCATGAAGTCAGGCTCTCACGGCTCAGCGATCCAACTTGCAAGGATCAGGCTGAAGTTTATTCATTCACATCCAGTCAGGCTTACGGAGGAGGAATCGTACATCGAGCCACCTGAGCGATTTCACTGGCCACAGAAACCAGGTCACAAACTCCCCAAGACAGGAAAGGCAGAGCCCGCACAGGGCAGCTGGGCAGCCCTGAGCCCGCTTCCCTGATGCCACCCGCTGGCCAGCTTCCGGTCCCTCCCATGGCCACACTCCCCGACCTGAGGTCACGTGGACTACGTCACCCACAGCACAGACCCCAGCTCGGATCATCCCTGCCACCAGCACTGAGAACCCCAGTCTCCCACACAGCAGCCAACCCCGGAACCTGAAGTGGGGGGCAGTCTTGTGCCCCCCAGCTCTCTCCTCGCTAGCTTCTATGAGAGGTGTGTTCTTGATGACATTGGTAGCCTGTTCCACAGTGAAAGGCCTCAGTGGTAGGAAGTGGTGGTTTCTTTCATCTTGCACAAACCCAGGCTCTCCAGACCTGCAATGGTTCTATGTCCCGGATTCAAGCGAGGAGAGCAGAGAGAAAGAGATGTGAATTCACCTCAGAGTTCACCATATTTCCACCTTTTAGAAGGAGCAAACAAATAATGACCGAACTACAGTCCTGAAGCAATAGCCAAAGAAATTAAAATGCAGCGAAAACACCAACATCTGAACATACAGAGTATGTGTGGCGGGAGCAGGGGTTATAATATCTTTAAGCAAAACTTTGATTCCTCTCCCAGATGTTTACATTCCTCCTCTTCCTGCCTCATCGGGCACTGGGCTGGTGGCCAAACAGACTGAAAAGAGAGGTGGGCAGGAGAGGTGGGTTTGTAAGTAAAAGCACCGTTTCAATGTTCATGTCCAAATTAGGAACGCTTGCCTCCAGCTTCCAGGCGCTGGTGTACAGCACCCAGTGTGTCTGGGGACCATTTCTAAATCTTCCGCAAGAATGCCATGGTCCGCTGGGCACCCCGAATGTGAGCCAGCGAGGGCAGTATTTGGGCCACGCACTCGACCCCCTGGGGTACAGGCTTAATGCTTCTTGAATCTCTCCGCATGAACACCTCCTTCCACCTACTCACTCCTAAAAGTGAAGTCAAAAGGTAAAAGGCCTAACAGCCCATCTGTGGAGAATTTCTAGAGCCCAGCGTGTCCTGGGGGACCCACCAGCACCACCTGCTCACAGGGTGGGGGCTGCAAAGTTCTTCTAATTAAGGGAGCAAAAAGTACGCCAGGCGGTCCCCTGGGGTCTTTTTTAAGAAGTGAAACCTCCTGGTCAGGCGGAAACCTTCTGTAGACCCCTGGGCTCACTGAGAAGTGCGTGTTAGACCAGAGTAGTAGGAGCAAAGGCCACGGTAGCAGCGGGCACGGGCTTCCTGTCACCTGGTATCGATCAGGTGATCCCACCCCGGCCCATCTCCCCACGACCTGTGTGCGTGAGACCCCGTGTGAGAACCGAACTCGCCAGCAGACACGAGCTGCCGCTTGTGCCAGGCCTTGGAGACGCAGGTAAGGGCTCAGATTTGTTCTGTTTCAATGATTAAAACAGGAGTGATGCTTGAGGTGGGGCCAGACGTTGGAGGCTGGAGGTGCTTGGCTTAGATTCCAGGGCTACCTGGGCCAGGCTTTCTGAGAGTGTCCATGTGAGGAGGAGGGGTGTATCGAGGGCTGCTGCCTGGCTTCTGTCTTGCTCTGAATGTCCCTGGCCAATCACACGTGTGAGTCATTCTAGAAAAGAGGGCCCAAGGGCTGCCGCCCACCTGCAGGGTCCACGCTGCGTGGCCCCAGCCCAGCCCAGCCCGTGGGGTTCCTACGAAATGGGAGCACATTTAAAGATTAAATGGGGAATGTTCTTCCAACAGCCTGGGGCCAGATAAAATAATCAGTCATGGCTGATGGCAATGAAAATAACGCCAAGCCTCTGGCTTGAAAGCACATGTCTCCGGAGCTATCCCACTGGACCTAAATGCCCGCAGACGTTGAACCCCTCATGCTAACCTTTTCTGGAAGGTTCTGGCATGTCAAACAGCACAGAATCCTGCTTCGAACCCCTAACAGAGTGTGAGCCCCACAGAAGAGAGGGGAGCAAGGTGAATGCTAACTGAATATGATTGCTTCCTGCAACCAGCCCATCCTGGGGCTCTTTCCCCGGGTCCCCTGAAGTGACTTCATGAGAGATCATCAGGCGGGGTGAGATGCCCCCTTTGGCTCTGGCATCCTGAGTCTGCCCACCTGCGAGGAAGCTGGGTTATGTCCAACGTAACGTTGACTGGGCTTGTGGCCTCCCGGCGTCACCCTGGAAGGGGATGGCCCCTGAGGAAGCCCCCCGCCCCCCATGGAGGGGCCACTGTGCACTGGAGAGAAAGCAGCTGTTTAGTGGTCTGCCGGGCAGAGCTGCGGGCTGGGAGGGGAGCGTCAGGCAATGTGAGGGAGCTGGGAGTGAGGGGTGGGGGAGCCGTCTCGCTGAGAGAATCTAGCGAAGAAACAGGAGACGTGTGGGGACCGGCGATGGGTGGGGAGGGTGCTCGTGAGGTCAGGAGGCGATGGGGGGCTGAAGGCGAGGCCTGGAGATCGGGGCTTCGGAGCAGAGAACTCAAGCTCTGGAAAGGGCTGGGGCGTCTGGCCTCACCGCCCGTTCACGGTGGAGCCACCGGGGAGCGTGAAGGCGGCAGAGAGACTTAGTGTGTTGACCAAGAGGAGAAATGAGAATCAAACTTAACGGGAGGAGAGAAAGGCCCCACGCAAGAGGTAACAACCAGGGGTATGGCAGGCAGAGATGGTGTGTCTGGGCCACTGACAGAGCAAGGTGAGGAGCTGCCCTGGATCACGGCTTCACTCTATAAGACTGGGTGAGGGGGAGACAGGCATAAAGCCCTCGGAGGGCCAGAGCCTGCCCACAGGCCGGCAGGCGGCAGGGCCCTGGGGGGGGGGGCTGGTAGAAACCAGTTGCAAAGCAGCCACAAATGAGGTGGGGTGGGAGAAGAGCGGGGAGAGGGCGGAAGAGGGCTGAAGACATCTTTGCAGGAAGCTGCGGGGGCGGAGGAGACACGAAGCAGGGCTTGGGAGACCACTGGAATGAAAGAAGGAGCCTGGGATCAGGGACACTTGAAACATGAAAAGGGGTCCAGTAAACGTCTATTCTCGGGGCATTTAGGACTCTGGCCCATTGCAAGTTCTCTCGTGCTGACAAAGCTCTGCTTTGAACAGAGATGGCCGAGACAGCAGGCCAGGGTGCCGGGACGTGCTTGAGCTCCCTGCTACTCTGCACCATGATGGGTGAGAGGGGCACCCAGCCTCTTTGCAGGACCACCTTGGCGGAAGGAAGTGGGCACTGGCGGCCAAGCAAGGGAAAGGAAGGAAGAACTTTCCTCCTTCGAGATAAGCACACAAGAGGCCACAAAAGATAAAATTGCAGAACTATTTTGAGGGGCAAAGGAGGAAGTTGAGGTAACAGAAGCGAGGTCTTTTTGAACTTCTCTATAAAGGATGAAATTATTGGACCTCAAAGTCATGATTCAAAGCAAAACCCATCAACTGTGAGTTCGTCAGCAAGAGGACACACAAGCAGGGTGCCCCTGTGCCAATAAAAAATATCAGCACAGTTGTGATAACATGGGATAGGAGCTGGTCAGCAGAATCCTGGTTTTAATAGTTTCATGAAAATAACACCCTGGGATGCTATTTTGGTGTATTTGGTAACTCTCGCTAAGATGCCGCAGGTTCTTTGAGCACAACTGTGTCAGACACACAGGTACTGAGAACAATATACTTTTTGTTTGTTTGTTTGTTTTTTTGTTGTTTTTTTTTTAAAGTTTATTTTTACATCATTTTGCACATTTTTTTTTTTCATCTCCATTGTAATCCCCACGGGTTTCCCATCACCAAATCACCC